GGTTCTTTTATCGCTCTGTGTAATCAACGCGGCACAGGCAGATATCATATTAAGAGTCGATCCCTTAGGTAAGTAGCCTGATACTTACATTATATGCAAACTACATATGTTTTTATTTTTTCATTGATGTGAATAAATATCTATATACATATAATTTCGTATACATTTAGGTATGTATATGTATTTTATGGTGAGCTAAAAACCGGCAAGGCAGGATTTTTAGCATAATTTAAAAAGTGTCGGTAAGCATTCAAACAACACGTAAAACAATCTGTTTTCATTAAAAACAACAAACCTTGAAAAACTGTTTAGGATAAAATACTTTAAACTTGCAGATTCTTGTAGAGTATTAATTTCCTAAAAAATCTAACTCAGGGGAAAGCTTTAAAGCTTGAAGGTTTGTTTTAACAAAAAAATTAAGAACAACAAGTAAGGAAGGGTGTAATCGAACATTTTATACTCTTGCAACTTGCAAGAATCAAAGACATGGAAATACCTTCAGGTGTTGGCAAAAACATCAAATTAAAAAATGTTGCGAAAGAATTCTATATTCATTATTCAACGAAATCGTGAATGATTTAGGTCCTATGACTTGGTCTATGTTCAATTAGTTTATATTTTACTTCCCAACATCGAAAATTATATTAAAATCATCATCAAATGATTTATATCAAAAATGAACCTAACCCAAGAAGCTAGTTTTAATACATACATATAACGAGTTGATGTGAAAAACGTCAACCAGAAGATCGGAATTGATGATATTAGGGATATGAGATTAAGACTAGGGTCTAGAGATTTCATCCGTTTTCACCCTGTTTTTGTAACTTTAGGAGATATGTACATTAAACCTATTAGAGGGCGGAGCCGCACCCATATTTTTACAAATTTTTAGACCACAGGCGCACCTTGCTACTGCAATCCCTTGTACCAAATAACAGGTTAATTATTTAGTTATGGCACTTTATAGGTTTTCGCTTAGTGACGTTTTGTGGGCGTGGCAGTGATCCGATTGCGGCCATCTTACTCTCTCAAGGAACACGTGTACCAATATGATGTATATAAATGATCAGGATAAAGAGACGAGTTGAAACCCGGGTAACTGTTTGTCTGTCCGTCCGTCCATCTGTGCAAGCTGTATCTTGAGTAAAAATTGAGATATCTTTATGAAACTTGGTATTTCTTGGTACCGTAAGACGGTTGGTATTGCAGATGGACGTAATCGGACCACTACCACGTCTACTAAACGCAATTAATCAAGAACAAATAAATTGCCAGAACTAAGCTAAACAATAAGATACAAGCTATAATAGTAATTCGACAGTGTGAAAATGGGTGAAATCGGGTGACAACCCCGCTCACTCTTCATATAACGGGACTGTTAAAAAATACTATTGTAAAAGCGCGATAAATAAAGCACTAAACACGCAAGAGATATTAAATTTTACCTTTGGGACGGTATGAGATGACTTTATAGGAACCGATTTCAAAATTAGACAGTTGGCGTGGCACCGCCCACTTTTAGGTGAAAACCGATATCTTGGGATCTGCTTAACCGATTTAACCCAAATTCGCCTATTTCCCATATAACACCATTTTATATTCCATCTGATTCTTTCATTTTCCACTATGCAAATCAAGCAACAATGATTGTATCGGGATAAAACTTTGAGTGAATATTGCGTTTAAAGTATGCCACCTTGTGACCAAAAATAGACTAAATCGAACTAAAACTGTTCAAGCCCCTAGGTACTGAATATGTGGACCCCAGTGCCTATAGTTGAGTTTTTACCGAAAATATTGGTAAATATGTAAGATATATAATTGTAATTCATATAAAAAAATAAATATAGTAAATTAAAAGTAGTATGTTTTTGTGTCAAAAATGGGTTGAATCGGATCAATATTTCCTTTATTATAAAATTTTACCAAGACCTGAAGTAATTTCCCGGGCTTTGATCCTAGCAAGTTGCGAGAGTATAAAATGTTCGGTTACACCCGAACTTAGAACTTCCTTACTTGTTCAAAATAGATTCGATTAATAATGAAATAATTATGTGGCTGTGTGGACCATCCTTCCCTGCAATCGTTCAAGTTGCTTCGTTCCAGCTGTGCGGAGCTAGAAGAAGCAAGCATCAGCTATGGTAATAATGCATAAATAAGGGAATATTCAATAAAACTATTGTAATTATATGAACGTATTTTCTTGAATTATTTTTAATTATCTCAGGAAGTATTTAAAATATGCTATTAAAGTAATTGAATTGAGATATGCTAAAATTCCATTTAATAAAATAAAATTTTTTTTTATAAAATTGAAGTTTCATGAGCTTCAGGATTCGAACGTAAATGTTCGTATTCGGATTGACCTTATCTCCTTCATGCTTACGACCTAAGCCATCAGAAAAGTGGGAACGCAACCGCTTAGCCATGTGTTGAGGAATTTATCTATTAATTACTTATTTTGTTGTAAATTCTGGAGCTTTAACCAATAATCATCTTATACTATAATTTGAGGGATTATGATATAATATTTTGGTAATATGCAAATGTAAAAGCACGCGCATTATTCATTTAAGAACATTCTTTGTATCTATTTAGCCTTTTCCCCGTTTCGGTCATTTCGCGGTGTATTTCAAACGAGTCGAAGTTGTATTTTTCGATGCTCATCTTGTGAACAGCTCAAATTAGTATTTCTTACCATTGGCGCCTTTTCTATTTATTAACATTCTCTGGTACAAAAGAGCTTTATAGGAACCAATATAAAAATTGGACAATGAGCCCGGCCCGCCCTCCTTTAGAGTATAACTACATCTCAGAAACTAATTCACCGATTTATCAAATTTGGTGCATTAAATTATTTTGACATTATTATTTTATATTGTGAAAATAGACGAAATTGAACAACAACCACGTCTACTTCCCATATAACACAATTATAAATTCCATCTGATTCTCACTCTCAAGTACACAAATCAAGCTACATAAATATATCGATATAAAACTTTGTATAAAATAGCCTTTAAAGTTTGCCCTAGATATGATGAACTTCTGCCAGCGTTTTTTCCAATCCTCAAAGCACTTAAAAAATAAATTTTTTGTGATCTTGTTCAGCTCCTCCTTCGATGCAGCTTTTATTTCCTCAGTCGTAACGTAGCGTCGTCCTTTATGGGCCTCTTCAATATTTGGGATTCAAAAAGTCACCGGAGGCCAGGTCTGGACAATACGGTGGCAGCTGCAGTATGTTGTTTTTGGCCAAATATTTGCGTGATTCGTCACCAGTTATGACTCTCTGCACCAGATCTTGATCGTCACGAACTGAGTCCAACATCTCCTGTGCGAGCGTCCGCGCACTTCATTTTGCTTTTCACACAAAATTTTATACAAGTTCTTTGATGCGTTTTTAGGAATAAACAAAAATTGAAGACGAACCTAAACGCGTCCAAACAGAACAGCTGTCAAAAATTAACTAAACATTCAAAATGGTCGACCCTGTCAGCATAAGTAAGAGATATGAAGACCAACATAACGCAAAAAAACAATCGAAAATCGAATAAATGTAGCCAGCGAAAATTCAAAATTCGCGATACTTTTTGAACAAACCTCGTATTTTTTAAATGTGTGGCGTGCTAACTAATCCCCCCTGATATTCAAACCTCCTCGTTTGAATCTTTGGGTTTGTTGAAAATTTAGTTGAGTCAATCGATTGCCGGTTGCGATAATTTGATGGATTAATTTATTGTGGGTTCATTTTCAAGGTATTTTCCAAAAATTAAGACCATCACTAATTATATAGTAATTAAGGTGATGGTGGTTGCGTGTTTTCTATTTTCTGTTTTTATTGAGCTCACTTTTTTGTGTTATTGAAGTTAAGCTGCTTCAGCATCTCTAGGGAGAGGATTTCTTCGATATTGTTGATGCGGATGAAGATCGTAGAATTGCTGGTAATGGTTTACTTAATGTTCTTTCCTCGTTGTAAAATTTGTTCCGTTGATTTGAATAGTTGTGGTACACAGGACTATAAATGTGCCGCTTAATGTTGCAGATTCGTTGTTGAAAAAAACTTCGCCATTGAATTTGTTTAAAAATAGTCCCCATTCCTCTAACACTGGAAAATGTTGATTGTTGACCTCCGTGCAGTTAGGCAAACGACATTTTAGAAGATTATTGATACATGAATTATTTCTTAAATCGGCTACATTATTGTTTAAACATATTTGAAAAGAGCTATATTGTTTACACAATTTTTTTGCGTTGAATTTAAAAAAATTGGTCTAGACTTTGGTCTAGAACTTGGTCTAACCTCATGTTCCTAATATAATGAATTCTGAATCACTGGCTCCCCTTCGGTTGAGTTTATATCGTATCTCCTTTGAGTTGAATATGTCGATTTTAATATAAATATCCCGGATATACAGCGAGGTATAGTATGTATTAAAATTAGTTAGTCTGTGACCTATAATACTTGTATATGTTAATAAGATACCAAATGTGATTGCAATCCATTTACGGCAACACCAACTTTGCAACACCTGAAAGTATTTTCTTGCCTTTGATTAATGCAATTTACGAGAGTATAAAATGTTCGGTTACATCCGAACTCAGATCTTCCTTACTTATTTTATAGTATGTTCTGTCACTACCTGAAAATATTTCACTATTATTGACTCTCTTAGATCGCCACAGTATAAAATGTTTCTTTACATACGAACTTAGAACTTTCTTACTTGTTATTTGTCTAATTCATGTCATTTAATAGTTTAAGTTTAAGTTAACAAGTGATTTTTTATACATATTTTATCTCTCCGTAAAAAAATATAGATAAAAATAACCACACAAAACTTTATCTAAATTTTTTTTTTTTTTCAATTTTTAATACAACATTTACTCGTCTCGCACCTGAACAATGCTGAATATCGATGGATGGAATGACGGCTTTCATCACTCATGTGTGGATTTCTTTGAAAATGTTCCTAATATATCTTATAATCACTGAGTAGCCCTCTTATCTGCAACCCTGCGCACTTACCAAAAAGCTGCTTGTGACAGCGATCAGGTCATTATCGCTTGTCCACGCGGCACAAGCATTTCAATCGAGTTCGCACAGTACAACAATTTCGAAAACAAAGGTAGGTGAGGCAACATTTTTAATAATTGTGCGAGTATGTTTATATGTGTATTTCATTAATTATTTTACATTTTTTTTAAGATACTATTTCATAGTTTTGAAGTTGTAATAGCTCCGGTTAAAGTTAATTTTTGATATTTGTGCCAAAAAGGATGATTTATTTTTCTCCTAGCACAGCAGTTAAAAGGAGCTTCTGAAGTTACAACATTCCATTTAGTTCATTAGAAACCATCTTAAGTCCTTCGCCTGACATTTTCCACCTTACTCTAATGGCGATCTCTAACAGACGAGTGAAATATTCATACTCGAGCTAATTAGCTATCTCTTTAAACGTCGCTATTCGATAACCGGTTATGGTTGTGCTTTACATATTAGGCATCGTTTTCTACTGCACTGCTAGATTAGGTATACAATTATTTTTCCATTGAACCCTTGGACATTTTTATACGCTCGAAACATATTGCTACGGAGTATAATAGATTGGTTTACATAATGGTTGTTTGTAACATCTAAAACAAAAACGAGATAGAAATACTGTTATAAATATATAAATTATTATGATGACGAGACGAGTTTTATTCCGGGTGACTTTCTGTCCGTCTGTCCATTTGTGCTAGTTGTAAGTTGAGTAAATCGTAAGCATACTTTTTGAAACTTGGTATACTTCTTTCTTGGCATCATAAGAAGGGTGGTATTGTAAATGGTTGGAATCTGGCTATTGCCATGCCGACAAAATGCCTTTAATCGAAAACGTTTAAATTCGGCATCTGCGGTAAAATTTTTGTTAAATTGGGCCTGTCCACGCCTCCTAATATGTAGTATGTACCATATATGTATATCTCGCTAAATTCTAAGCCAAATCAACAAGTCCTCCTCAAAAATTAGATGAATGAAATCTGATGTTAACCATGCCTACATCCCATATAACGGTTAGATCGAAAACTACTAAAAGTGCGATAACTAATAAATACGTCAAAAAAATTAATTTCACATCTACATTTATAGGTACAAATTGAACAATTGCCATGGCCGCGCAAACTTTTTTATTTGACAAGGTATATTCACCGAATTTTGCATAGATTATTGCCAAAAGCACCGCTACAATCTCCGAACCAATTTTTACCAACACCTGAAAGTAATTTCCAGACTTTGATCTATAAAATTTTCGGTTACACCCGAACTTATTCTCTTCCCAGTTAATTGTATATAATTCCTTTTATTGAGGCGTTTAGCTGAAACCTGATATTTCCATAAAATTGTAATTTTATTTGCTTCCTTTCACAGATGGATTCAGCATCGATGACTTATGTCCACTAGACACTTCCGCGAAAAAGGTGCAATCGAAGGCCAAACACCTTCTACGTGGTTCCACATTCGGAGTTCCCGGATCAAAGATTCCTACCATCCAACACCTTTATGGCCAGACTACGGAAATCCCGAGCTCAAGCCTGCCAACAGATACACTCATGACAGAAGAAACGGAAGGTGCCGGTGCGCGTAAGGAAAATGCCGCGAATGTTAATATAAAAGACGATGACTCCACCGAAAATTGCATGTGGCCAAACGCACTGCAGGTAATTATTCATTATGCAACATTTACACAATTTATACTAAAATAGGAGCGCTTTAATTATTACATGGACTGAAAGCCTTTGGCTTAACTTTGATCTTGAAGTCAAATCGATCTAATCACCCAGTGTAATTGATTATTTGACCATGTTCCTGGTAGTCCTTGAAATTAAACATTGTGCATTTTGAAAAATACTGAATAATACCTTCCCAGACTGTGTTTTCGACTTTCACCGGACAACAAGCATTCAGCGGTCAACCACTAGACTCAGGTTTCATCAATTACTGTAGAAACTCGAACAGTCTTTTATTGGTCGATCTCAACATAATTTTATAATGTTTTATGATGTTACTGCATCTTAGTCCAAGTAGAGGTACTTTTTTCAATAGCCTTTTTTGGCAGATCACGCGTGAGTCGTGTCAAGCTGTTATGTTATTTTTGTTCAGTATTTTTTGGCATTTCATCGTGGAAAAACTAACGCCTGAACAACGTTTACAACACGTTCAACTTTATTACGAAAATTCACGTTCTGTAAAGAATGTGTTTCGCGCGATTCGCTCAACTTATGGTCAACATAATCGACCTACTAAGCGTACTATTCGCAAAACCATCACCCATCTTAAGACCCAGCATTCATTATTGGATAATATTGAATTGACCACGTTCAGCACGCAGTGATGAAAATATAGCGACCATAACTGAGAAGGGAACACGAAGGCCGTGAAGATCGATTCGGCGCCCTTCTCAGCAACTCGGACTGACGTATGGAACGACTTGGCTCGAGAACTTAAATTGAAAGCATACAAAATACAGCTTGTGCAAGAACTGAAGCTGCTCGACCTTCCCAAGCGATATCGCTTCGCTCTATGGGCTCTTGAAAAGTTCCAAAAAAGCTCGCGATCTCGGCAACATTTGGTTTTAACACACATCGCATCAACCAATGGATTTAGGTATAGAGAGAACACTTCGGTGAGCAGATAATTTATCGTTTTGGGACGGTTGATTGGCCACCAAGATCGTGTGATATAACACCGTTAGACTTTTTTCTGTGGGGATATGTAAAGTCTAAAGTCTATGCGGACAATCCCGGTTTGATTCAGGCCTTGGAGCAAAACGTCACTCGTGTCATTCGCCAGTTACCAGTCGAAATGGTCGAACGAGTCATTGAAAATTGGACTCAACGGATGGACCATCTGAGACAGCGTCAACATTTGAAAGAGATAATCTTCAAAAATTAAATGCTGAAGAATTTTATTTCGAATGATATTAAATATTCTCTTTTAAATTTCGATCTGCAATTTTGTGTACGTCCTTTTTTTATCCAAGAAGCAGCTTATTTGTCGGAATCGCCGATATCGGACCACTTGGATATAGCTGGCACACAAACTGCCGTTCAAAATCAAAAATCTTGTATACCCTTCATGCTATAAGAAATGCACATGAGAAGGGTATTATAGCTTTTTTAAATATTAATTGGCAGATAGTTGAAAATATAGACAATATTGATATATAAAACTCAAATTTCATGTTTTAGTATTCGTTGCTGCAGACGGTCGTTGAGGCTTGCCAAAAAAAGAAGCATTGCAAATTTAACGGTGCCCCACATTTCTATAGACTGAGCACAGGCGGTGATGCAAATAATTATAATAACACCGTTAGCACCGTAAATGTAGATCCTTGTCACAAACGACGTAAAATTGTTGAGGTGGCTTATAAATGTCGTCCATGTAAGTTTTTCCTCGAATACACTATACCTACATTCTATATGTATGTATTGAACTTTGCAGGTTGAGCTGTCAAATAATACACTTTTGTTTGTTTTTCTTTTCTATTGTTCAGATGAATTTCGTAGTAAAGTGGCCTGTCACAATGATATGGCTCAATTAGAGTGTAATCCTTATTCACGAATCGCGGTCTACAGTGCGAGCTTCGGACGCACCGAATATGAGAGCATTCAGTGTCCACAACCTCAAGGAGTACGAGAAGAAAGTGAGTTCAAAACACAAATTACGAGAGCTTTAATAAACTGTATAAAATAAATTGATTACTTTAATCGAATTTAAAATTTAAAAATAATAATTTCCACTGGATTTTTTTTATTTACCTAAATCGAAAAATTTATCTTTGTTAAAAATGTTAAATTGCTGTATTCCACCAGTATACTAAAACGTCATATGTTCATTTCCAACAACTACGAAAAATTGTCAAGTTAAGAACAAATATTTTTCTTTTATATTATAAAAGAAATATTTGAATTAAAGAGTATTATGAGTTAACAGCATATTTTTGTTTTGCTGTGATTTTTTTTTGTTATATTATATACAATATATAGTTTATATATTCGTTATATGGTTACAATCTCTCAAGATTTTTGCACCTGCTACAAATGAAGGCTGATGTTAGAGTGGAAGCGCGAAGCGCCGCTACGAGTATAGGATGGTGCTACTTTTAGCTATAAATCACTTTATGTGTCTTCTTATGTAAATGTTCTTGCTTCCACTCTGACATTACCCTTATGGGAAAATAGAAGCGGAGATAGCACAAGTTTCGGTTAACGGTAAATTTTTGAGTTTCTCTCCGCAGAGTGTTGTGATCTGAAAACGCAGTTTTTTATAAGCGTGGCTTCTCCCATCCAGTCAGTCGAAGCAAGTTATTGAAATTTTATATTCAAACAAAGTTAGTCTTAATTAGAAAAAATTTATATTGAACCAAAAGTTAATGGCGTTCGGGATCGTAAATTTGACTAAAGAAGAGAATAGTATCTCCTTGAGAAATACTGTTCCATTGTCAGAGCTGATTCACGAGGTAAACGTGCGGTTGCCAGACTTTTTAAATTTGAAGCCGGACAATTCGTGTTGCGGATAGACTTCGTTGAAAATTATAGATCAATATTTCAAATATGATTAAAAGCGCGCTTTAAACTAAATAATATCTCTTAGTGATAATTCGAATCCCAGCAACACTGAACTTTATCTATTTTAAACAAACATTATTAACGATATAAGAAAAGTAATTTCAAAGTTTAAGAGCATATTTAATATTGTTTTGTTACTATTTTTATTATTGAGAGATTTGTAAGTGTTGAAGTTATATTTTTTATTATTCTAAATACAAATTGATAAAAAAAAGTTCAACAATCTAGCCGGATAACTTGTCACGTTCGCGATGTCGCGTTACAAATCATTAAGAAAACTTGTAAAATTAATATATGAATAGTAATACATCAAAATAGTTTAATTAATAATCAAGTTACTCACCACATTTCGCTGACTTTCGCATTTTTCAAGATTAATTCAACAGTGTCTTCAATTTTTTGTCGCGTTCGTGATGCCCTTTGTTTTCTATAAATAATTCGAAAGCGAAAAGTCTTCAAAGATTCTCCTTTATAATAAAAATAGTATTAGTACAGTGTATTAAACACGTAAAAAAAACATTTTTGAAATAGTTATATTATTTTTATACATAAGCGCCAATGTATTTTAAATATTTCAGCTTGCCAAGCATCATATGCCACCGAAACAGTAATGCAGATATGCCATGGGCGCCGTCGTTGTAACTTAGCTGCAGATGCGAACACATTCGGGTCACCATGCCAACCGAACTCGAAAATGTATCTGAAAGTAGTTTATACTTGTGGTAGGTATAAGACACAGTACTAATTAGCTACTTCGAGGTGTACTTATTTTCAAAGCTGCTAATGATGATTAAAAAATTAACTAATGCAGAGTTTTTTAAAGGGATTTAGTTAGTTGTATTATTTACCTAACATACTTGTATTACCACATATACATACATATAACGTATTATAGCATATATGTTCATACTTTGACATAATCCGCAATCCCTTCAACTCTATTATGACATCACTTCATGTAATCCAGTCGTATCAAGGAGCGAAGCTTATACATATATGTGATATCTCTCTCCTTGGATGCTTTGTCCCGATAGCCTGGTTTCTGATGTCGCTGCCGCAAGGTCGTAGAACCGACATAGATCTGTATGACAGCACCCGTATTCCAAACGAGCAGTCTTAATTTGTCCTTAAGAAGGAATATTAGTTGCTCGTATTGAACTCTCCAAGAAACAGCTTCGCAAGTCCATGCGTTTGCGGCTATTAGCGATTTATGCTAGACAGTTTTTGTCAAAAAATAATATCTGTTTAATTACAGGTGAAGTAGACCTCAGCTTAGAAAACTGTCTTTTGGAGTAGAGCTGGAAAAATTCTGTCTGCCCTGGGCTTTAAATTTTTCATCTTACAGTGTAGTTGGTGAAAATGGCTTTGGCGTCTTCTTCTTTAGTCAATTAGGCTTGGTCTGCTCGCTTTTCAGCATGTGCGTGCTTTCGTGAAAAAGTTAGCCCGTTTGAGCGGGACTTCCCACTACCATGTTCCCTCTTTTGAGAGAAGTAATTTTCACCTCTGTGTCTCTATAAAGTCAGGGTCCCGGTAATGGTTCCGGTTTATTAGCTTTTCACTTCAAATGTTTCCCCTCTTTGCACGGTGGTGGCTAAACCTGCTAGTCACCGGACTGCGGTTTGAAGGGGGTTATTTGGGTTACTCCCACTGCTTTTTTATTTGTGGACGGAGTTTGTCTTCCCTGACGTGTTTTTCAAATAAATGTCTCTCTTCTGACCTGAGTTATCCCAGGCATTGATGCTTTAACAGTTCTTTTAACATCGTCGTAGCCATTTTGTAGTTGGTATTCATCACCTTGCTCATACAACAATTGCATTATTTTAAATTATTTTTCCTATAGAATTAAGATCACCATGACATCTCTAATTTACACAACTTACTTATCATTGAGATCGCGAAATGCACTCCTCTGGTCATCTTTTAAATTAAGAGAAAATTTAATTAAAAGAGGAATAAATCAAAATAAACGAAGAAATTATTGGTTTGCTGTATATATCTCAAGTTTCCTGGCTTTAGTATTTTGTGTATTACTGATTTCAATAATGTTAAAACAATTTTAAGGGTGTGAGGGGGCTTGACGCCCCAATTTAGGAACGGATATAGGATCTTCAATGTAATATTTGAAAATAAATGAAATATTTGTTATTTTCTTGGTACAGTGCCAAAACAAGTTTTAAAAGATCGATACGAATCGGAAGTTGAAGGAGATGAGATTGAAGAATTCAATGGAGATAATGAGGTGTACGACGATGAATTAAACTATAAAGAATCTGAAGCGATTCCGAAGGTGTATAGCAACAGTACTGTTTCTGTTGCTAGGTCAAATGGTACAAATGTTTCATCAACTCCTGCCTCTTCGAACTTTAATAACGACAATATATCATTTCATCTTGAAATACCAGACAGCGCCAGTATCAATCCGGTCATGACACACAGTGCCGACCTAAGTCTGGAAGGTAATTCATTATTACCTATGTATACTACTAAACATTTTCTATACACTTAGTACAATATATGTAAATAAGCGAATGCCTTACTTTGTATATTTATTATTCAAAAACGATTTGTCTTCATTTCCCGATATAGACAACCAGGAGCGACTGTATTTATATCTTCTAATCGCCGGTTTAATCGGTGTAATTATATGCATAATTATTGTGTCTGTTCATGTTTGGATGCAAAAACATCAAGCTCTCAGTTCGGAGACTCAGATGGCACCCATAGACGGTTCTGGTAACCCATGTGCTGATACTACCATTCCCAATGGCTTCAATGACACGATATCAGAGATTGACGCCGAAATCGATATGCCAACTACTATTTCTGTACCGAGTGTTTTGAAAAATGAGGTAAGTTTTTAAAAATTGCAGTATGGTCACCAATGTGTCTGCATTGAAGTATAATAATGAAATCACTTTCATTTAATTATTCTAATCAAAATATTACTTGAACGTGATAGTCTTTATTTTATTGTTACAGAATTATATTTCCTATGGATCAAATGGTGGTTTATACAATGGCCTTGGATCATCCAGCAGGTCCCAGAATTCATCGACTCTTGTATTACAAGGTGGAGTAAGTATGCCTCCCACGGGTGTCATCGGTACATCTGCGTCCTCAACAATAATCACAAATCCTGGCGTATGCGGGGCACGGCAATCTCCGGATATCATCGGTATTTCAACAAAAGCTCACTTAGCGGTGCCCACAAGTAGCGCAATTGGCTATCAAACGGGTGTTGGTGGCATATTGGCACCAGCAATTGTAATTGGTAGCAATGGAACTAGCATCAGTAATTCGCTTAGTTGTGGTTAGTTTTATTATGTGTACATACTCCTAATTACCAAAATTCTTATATGAATCTGCTCATTTAAAACCTAACAATAAGTTATAAAATTTATTTTAATTTTATTTAAAGATAGACTAACTTAATGTTGTAGTTGACCCCTTTGGTAACGTACTGTTCTTTAGTAAAATAGGGATAGATTTGTTTTTGTTAGACGAACTGATTACAGGATTGTATCAAGACATTAGGTAGTGCATACTTGATTAATTTTCGTAGGAATACCATTTGTAGCATCTTTTTTTATTTACGCGCAGCACACTTGAATTGAAGTTGTAATGAAGGCGAACCATTTAAAATGATTTCATTTTTTATTTCATTTGTCATTAGAAAGTGGACTCATACTACTTCAGTAGCGTATAAATAAAAAATGTTTGCCCAATTTATTTTTGTATGAAATTATTAAAAAACTTTCCATAGGTCCCATGGCCTCAATTGGACAGTACACAACTGCACCCACGATACGTGCGAGCTATATCATCAACGCAGAGGGAATGTTGAAGCGACCTCCGAATCTCCAAACTCCACCAATGACAAATTCCTCAAACAACAGCCAGTATTCGACAACGTCCACACTACGTCGAAACAAGACCACTGTTCCTTCCGCACTGCAACAACAGTTATCTTACGATGGTACAGCTCCACGTACATTATCTACTGGGGTTCCAGTGAACTCCCAATTCTATTATGGATGACAAAATTTAGAGGAATGTTTTGGAATGAAGACTATTTTGTTCGATACCACTCAACATAAAGCTGAGGAAATCTCCACGCTTACTGCCCAGCTCTCATACAGCACATTAACAGAGCAATCACCCAAAAAAAGTGAGAATCATAATGTAAATGACAATCCTAACTCAAACTACGAGAACACAACCGTGATGAAGAGTCAGGACCATGGACCATCGGAACCTCAAGCTCAGATAGTTGTCAATAACAAGGAGTCGGAGATATCTTTTTGCTATTGAACGTAGTTCAACTGACAAAAGACATGGAAGTGTAATATGTAAATTTAGCAACAATTTCTACATTAGTTAATTGTATATAGTATTTGTATCACCCACAGACATAAATGTGGTATATACCTAAATAAATAAGAGATTAGAATTATAAGAGTATATACGTAAAAATTCTTATAATTGTATAGTGTTAGGTAGCGTTATTTGTAAGATATGAGTTTCTAAAAAATCATTCAGCGATAGTATTTCAGTTTGTTGCGTACAATATTAAACCCATTCATTATTTCAAAGCCAGAGTTTAAAGGAGGCGAAAAATGTCTACATATGTATGTACGCTTAAGAATATTGGAAAGAAATGTACTAATTTTCTTAAAAAATTCTCATCAGCAATGTTGAATAATGTAAACTAGTATTTGGCTGTATAAAAATAGTATTAATGATGACTTTTCGGAACTGTATTGTTAAATAGTAGCAAAAAATAACAAAAAATCTGAAAAAATATGTTAACTACACGATATTTATGTCTTTTCAATGTATACATTTTTTGGGACAAATTAACTGTTTTCTAGGAAACTACGTACGTACATATTTAAATATTAATATTCAAATTTGATTTAATAATATTAGAAAGAAAAAGGCTCAGATTATAGAACGATATTTTAACTTCATTAACTATTTGCAGTCAAAATCCACTTAATTGATAACGAAAATTACAATATTTTGACGATTGCTGATACTACAAGCAATTTAGATACATGATATTTTTAAATGTGAAGAAGTAGGCTAATGGTTGTGATAAACGTGGCCAATACACGGAAAACTAGTAAATTATAATTGCTTACAGTTACACTCGCACATAATTGTTTTCGAATTAGAATTTTATTGTATTCTAAATAGACGAGCTTAATTTCAACTACTGTAAGTTGACTAAACTAATGTAACTAATTCTTCTAAAATTTTTAAGTAGAATCCGAATAAGATCTTGAAATTTTGCCGTTGTGGACACTTTTTATCTTACTTAGAACTTCATTTAATATATTAAATTGCGGTATTTGTTATCCCCTAAAGTGGACCTGAAAGTTGCAATAAAAAACATTTTAAACTTATTTTCTAAATGTAAATCATAATTCAGAAATAATTACATTTAGAACTGCAGAAATAACTTATTAGTATAATAAACAAGTAAGGAAGGGCTAAATTCGGGTGTAACCGAGAGTGTAAAGAGTTGAGTATTCATTATCCGATTTTATCGTGACTAAATTACAATCAAATTTGAATTATTTTAAAAACATCTTCAAATGAGATACATGTGATATAAATTCAACCGAAGAGGCTAAATTTAATACATATTGAGTTGAAGGGGACCAGAGGATCGGAATTCTTTATATTAGGGATATAAGGTTTAGACCAAGGTCTAGACCAATTCCATTCTAATTCATTAAATTTCATTAAAATATTACATTTTGACCAACCTGAACGGTTTAAAGTCAGGTATATAATTATTGATGATTATGATTTATTATTGCATTAATTTGGACATTGCTCAGGTATACTGAGAACATATTTTCAAGCAATTTTTGAAATATATAACTTACACACTAAACAACATATTCGCCATAAAACTAATTAGAAAAATGAAAATCATAATTTGTAGAATATGAGAGTTAAGAATAGTATCGAACCGATGTGTATGTATTTTTGCCAATACCGCATACTATTAACTTGCCATGTACAAATAAAATATTCCCTGGGTTTCATTAATGTACCTCCATACCATGATTCTGATATTAGTTATATAGGGGCTAGGTCAAGTATTTAGCTAATTTTATCTATTTTAGGCACAAAAATACACTGTTATTGGAAAAACACTCTCTCTCATTTTTATTGAGATAACTCACATATCGGCCGATATATGCGGGATAAAGTCACTCGGAAGTTCGAAAATCTGTATATCAGGAAGTATTGACCCGATTTGACCCATTTATTACATTCAGACGTACTATCATTAGGAAAATATTTTCTCCGAATTTCAATTATTGTATATACATCTCATACATTGACCGATGTTTTTGGTAAAAAGTCAACTATAGGAACTGGGGTCCACATATTTGGTACCTAGGGGTTAAACAGTTTTGGTTCGATTTTGACTATATTTGGTTATAAGATGGCACACTTCAAAGACACTATTCGTGCAAAGTTTTATCCCGTTACATTGTTTGGTATTTTATTTGTATACTGGGATGGGAAAGAATCAAATGGAACTTAAATTGGAGTTATATGGGAAGTAGGCCTGGTTGAACTCCGATTTCCTCCATTTGTACACTGTAACATAGGATGTTAGAATAATGTTATGTACCGAATTTAGTGAAATCGGTCGAGCAGGTCCCGATATATATGGGTCCACCTAAAAGTGGGTAGAGCCAGGCGCATCGTCCGTTTTCACACCGGCTCCCATGAAGCCCTCTTGTGCCATTCAGGATGTAAAATCTAATGTCTCTTGATACATTTAGTTATTGATTAGTCACACACCAAGGAGCATTTTAATTTTAATTTTTACTCAAGTTATCGCTTGCACAGACGGACAGACGACTGTCTGACTCGCATTTCAACTCGTCTCATCATCATGATCATTTATATACATATATATAACCCTATATCTAACTCGATTATTTTTAGGTGATACAAATAACCGTTATGTGATCAAAAGTATTATACTTTGTAGCAACATGTTGTGAGAGTAAAAAAAGTATATATGTATATCACAATAGTTATAGTACTAAAAAACATGCTGCTATCGGGTCCAATTTTCGGATATCTTTTGATATTGAGTATTAAGGGCATTGCTTAAGTTTTCATATCGCAAATGCTTGAAAACGATCAAAAACGTATTTCCAGGTTTGACTTCTATGGGATAAATTCTATAAAAAATATATATTTCTTGAATCAATTAAGTTTAGGTACAAAGGCATTTTCTTTATTTAAATTATTAAAAAGTAAAGTTTTTTTGATAATTCAAATAGCGATATATTAATACATTTATTTCAAAATCAGTAACTTTCTATAAACACAACACAATATAATTACAAAAATATCAAATCTATTGATTTCACGTCAAAAAAGATTCGGTACAAAAATGAAAGTGAATTAAAAAAATAATTGAAACAGAAAACATATGATAAGTTTAATACTTTGTTGTCCCGATATATGTGTTGTTGCTTTTTACCAGCACATTAGTGTCAGACTTTCTAATTTTGGCCCATTCAGTCTCTATAGCGGTCATTTACGTGTCCTTGGACGTAATATTGTGTTTTCGAAGAATTTTTTCTAACAAACCCCATATGAGCTCTATGGGATTAAAGTCGGGAGATTGTGTTGGTGTTTGGAGTTGCTCAGTTATATAGAAAGCATTCTCGGACTGGATACGACGTGTGTTTTGAGTCGTTATCTTGTTGAAAAAGTAATCGGCTGCTATCGTTTTGCACGCTTGGGCAGAAATTTTGCATCAGAATACTCAGATATATATATATGTTCATTTTATCTGTTATAAACCCCAAATTACCCACGCCAAATGCAGCCATACACCTCCAAACCATGATGTGTCCCCCACCATGTTTGAATGTAGATATTAAGTTATTTTCTTGCATCTCTGCATTGGCACGGCTCCACACTTTAATTACTCCGTCCGACCCAAAATTGTTGAATTTTAAGTCGTCGGTGAGTACAACGAATCTGACTAATCAAGATTGAGATAGATTTTATTATATTATAATAATTAAAATAAAATAATTTGTACTTATAAAATCAGCCCTCAATACATTCATTTCGAAAAAAAAGCATTGATTAACTCCTCGAAATATTTGAAGGTATTTCTATAAACCGACCGAGGCAATGTCAACTAATCTGTATGACAGAAATTCATAAAATAAAATAAATTTTAGAATTCACAATGGTCTTAACCTCTGACGCGTGTTGTTAGATCCGATACAATAATTTGAATATTTTTTACACAAAGTGCCTTTCTCAATACACACGTTAAATATAATTGCAAATTTTCTTTACGTATATAATGTATAAAGAGTACATACATGAATAAATAAATCAAAAATTTGTTATAGACAATTAATTATAAGGATCAGAAATAGTCAAAAATAATGTATGTAAATATCTAGTATTGTATGTATGTATAAATATGTTATGCAATACATAAAATGTCTGTAAGTGAAGAGCTAGTAAATTAAGAAATGTTAAGTGATACTACCCTTAGAAGAATTAATTATTTCCTAAAAACAATGAATAAATTTTACAAAAGTTTTCTTTTCACTATAAAAGAGATGAATAAATGTGGTTACGAAGTGTTTCTTTCGCATGTATATATTTTTGTTTTTGGCTGTACATCATAAAAAATAATAATAATAAATGTTTTTATACAAATGCAGTATACAAAAGTAATACTCAAGGAGTAAATTTCTTTATATCAATAAACTCACATTCACTTTCCACCACAACCACACTTCTGCGATCTAAAGAGATAACTGTGAATATAAAATGGAATAAATAATATTTCAAGAATATTATGTCAAAATTTCAAGAACAGGTACAAAATTGACGAACTTACGAGTATTTTACCTGTTATATGAACGTTGTACATCAAATATTTTATTGTTCAAAACTTTCAAGCGTTTTTTCCACGTTTTCAAAGTCGGTGTCCTTCATAGATCCAAAACTACTGCACCGATTCTTTTGAAATTTTTAACCTATTTGTGTAAATTTATTTTAATTTTATTTTAAATTTGTTAATAATCTCTATTTTACTAAAATAAGCCGATGTTTTCGCTAAAAAACGAGTTTTTTTTTCTTCAAAGTGAAAATGATCCAAAATTGAATTTCAAAAAACCTTTTCGGCGTTACCTGAAACTTTTTTTAATTCGGATCATCCAGAAACCAGTTAATTTTTTTTCCATATTCTTCGAATTCTATACTTTGATATACCATTGGTTTTAATAAAGAGATATTAACGATGTCGTCACAAAATATTCACCAAAACATACGTGTTTTGCACGAATTAATCCCTCTATGTGGGGCCGGCAGCTCCGTAATATCTTGAAATCACATTTTCATAGTTCTAGAGATAAAAAGAAGGGTTAATCAATTAATGAATAGCAGTAAGATATATACATATGTACAAGTATATATGGTATACATATAAAAAAATAAATATGTATCTTAAAAATTATACATACATATAAACTAATAAATTAGGTTTGTTTTAGGCTTTAGTATAGTATTATGAAATTGGTTTGTAAATATTTATGTACATAGTATATAAATAATATAAAAATATAAAATAAATTTCTTTAATTTTAATATAGCAACAGAAATCTTTTTCATTCTAACCGGTGTAAGTATGTAAAATATATTCGTTTTGCCATATGTTTATATACGTTAATTTTAGGAAAGATTTTTAATATTAAGGTTTTCAACCCAGCTGCATTTTGGTTGAGGTTTGGAATTCGGT